ACCAACGCACACGCAATTTTAAATTGATGTGTGTTTGGATAGTTATTGTTTTTGTTATTTTTCTGTTGAATGCTGGTAGCATTTTTGATGTTGTGTTTTATTTTTTCATTGATTGACTTTTTTTTGCAAATTAATACTTTTACTTTCTCCAGCACAATATATGATAAGATTATATGTAATTGTGTTGGTATCTGAGTTACACAGTATGATTATGACAAATTACTTATACCGTAGACAGACGACAGCCTTAATTTGCATTAAATAATTCTTAATTTGAATTAATATTTACCCCTGACAGACGAGAGTTTCTGCATTTACAAACAGTTTTTTGTTTCAAAACAATTGTTTGTCTGTTTGTAGGAAGAAAATTTTGTCATTGGTTTACAATATTTTTCGTGATTAGATCCTTATGAAATAGATACATGGCATAAAGGAAGAATAGCAGCTATGATGTTGGCAAAGCAACTCCAAATTTGAAAGAATGTTGAAATTTGCCTTTATTTATAATTTTTATTTTTATAAATGTAAACAAATTTGACAACAATAAATTGATTTTCGACAGCATTGCCATATTGAAATTGGTTAATTCAGTATAAATTCAGTTTGATTTTGTGCATTAAAAATGAGGATAATGTACAAGTTAATTTGAATTAAGGCTGTTAATGCAAATTAAGGCCGTCGTCTGTCTAGGCTATTAGACAGTATTTTGTATAATTTGTATATAAATTGTTAATATAATTATAAAAAAGATATTGTTTATTGATAGTAGGGGAGCAGAGAATTTTTATATCCTACACAACTATGTTGTCAGGGTATTATAGCTTTGTGCAGCCCCAAGAGTTTTTAACGCCGCGAAATATTGGTCCTAGACCCATTTTTAAGTATACCGATCGTCATATCTCGACTAGCTGAGTCGATGTAGACATGTGTGTCCGTCAGTCCATCTGTCCATTATAATTTGTAAACACGATACAGGCCACAGTTATGGACCAATCTTCACGAAATTTTGCATGTCGGATGGGTTCTGGTCAATGAAGACCCTATTGTTTTTGGTAAAGATCGGTTAATATTAGAGCGATGAAATGGACCAAGTTTATTTTTGTCGGTTTTTCTGGTCGTTCCAGAGGCCGCAATTATGGCCCAAACATCGTGAATTTTTACACGGAGAAGGGGCTTGGGCTAAAGAATAAGCATGCCTGTTTTGATAAGGATCGATCAATACTTAGCGGGTCAAATTGACCCTAACATCTGTGTGAAAAATGATAAAATTTGTATTCTATAGCGTATATATTTACTCCTGAAGGACACAGGTCCAAGGGGTTGATCATATAAAGAAGAGGAGTGGTTGACCTTTAAATTGACACCAATTATATTGTCGTATGTATTCGGATGTGGGAGTTACACGTCAATATTTACAGGTGTTTATGTATTCATATATTATTTAGTAACCCACTACCACACTAGAGGACGAAAATATAGCGCAATTGAAAGCAGAACATCACGGTGAACCCAGGGTGAAGGTAATCTTGACAAGTAATTAGAAGAGTTGTACTGAATATTAGTAATATTTGTTGACCTCTAGTCGGACAAGAGGATGCAAATAAATATATAATAATAATAATTTATTATAAATCGTCTTTGTAATAAATCGAAGGCAAATTTTTACCCCCATATAAGGGTACCACCCAATTTTCGGTATTTTGAGGTTCTTAAGCACATATACAAATATCAGTATGTTGATATTCACGTGTTCCACCCTAACGTGCGTTCTGAATATCGGACTACGGTTTGAAAAATTTGAAAAATCCCTTATGGCAATTGCTGAGTACATTTGTCGGTATATGCCCACTTTTTGGTATGTTTCATATATCCCCATTATTCTTTACATCAGAAGTTTCGACTGTATACCGTGGGGTGCGAAATGTCAAATGTCAATACTCTATGGTGAAAATTTAAGGAATATTTTGTAATATTTCCTATTATTAAAAATATTAAAAATCACATAGTTGTAATATGACATATATAAAGACCCCAGCCGTTTTTTACATTGAAGGCTTAAGGGACACTTTCCAACCTAATACGTTTTAGTATTAGGTTGGGAAAAAAGAAATCTATTATTTTTATAGGAATGTCCGATTTAAGCCAAATATGAACCGTTTCGTTGTATAATTTGTTGCCATTTTAAAAGCGTTTCTAGATCATTTTTCCGATTTTATTGACATTTTCGACGACCGGCCTACCCGTAAGAGATGCTTTTTAACATCAAACAAGTGAAAAAGCATTAAGTTCCATCCACCATAGTTATACTGACAGATACATGCAATGAAAATATAGGGAACATACCAAAAAGTGGGTATATAACGACAATTCTACAAACCGATTTATGTAAACCATTATGTAGACCAAATACAAACTTCAGAAATTTTTCATGGGGATTTTTTCCTAAAATCTGTAAGATCCAAAAAGCGGACTGATACTGATAACGCTTGGTAGAGTATAAAATCCTCAAACTACTGTAATTTAGATTACAAAGTTATATGAGGCTATGCCTAAAGGGGGACCAATATTGATTACATAGTGTAGGAAATAGTGAATATTTGGGGATATCATTATAAGAGGGCTATGCCTAATAAATGACCGGTATATGCCAATATTGAACCCAATATTTTAATTGTTTATCTCAATTCTTTCCTTTCAGAGAATTATATGGGACTACCCCTAAAAAGGGGTGAATATTAACAATTTTTGGTGGGGAGATTTGTTGCCATATACGACTACAAAATACCAAATTTCAACGAATTCGGTTAAAAAACGCGCTCAAGAACCTCAAAATATCGAAAATTGGCGGTACCCTAATATGGGGGCTACCCGAAAAAAATTACCTATATTTATAATTTTTTGTGGAGAGATTTGCTACCCAATAAGAACTCAAAGTACTAAATTACAGCCAATTCGGTCAAAACCACCCAAAAACTGGAAATTGGGAGGTACCCTTATATGGGGGCTACCAGAAAAAGTGGACCTATAATTATTATTTTTTGGGGGAATTTAGTATCCAATAAGAACCCCATGTACCAAATTTCAGCGAATTCGGTTGAAGACCGCGCTCAAGAACCCTAAAATACCTACCCGAAAAAATTTACCTATATTTATAATTTTTAGTATAGAGATTTGCTACCCAATAACAAGTCACAGTACCGAATTTCAGCGAATTCGGTCGAAAAATGCGATCAAACCCCCCAAAATACTGCAAAATTGGGGGTACCCTTATATGGAGACTATCCGAAAATATGGACCCATATTTATAATTTTCAGTGGAGAGATTTAATGCCCAATAAGAACTCAATATACTAAATTTCAACGAATTCAGTTGAAAAGCCCAACTTCGAACTTGACCTGCCTGCAGACAAAAGACAATTCTATGCAAAATTTTGGCGATCTAGCTCATTTCGTTAAGATGATAGAGTGATTACAACAGACACAGAGACGGACAGACGGACGATATAGCCATATATCGTCATAGAATTTTACGCTGATCAAGAATATATACACATTATAGGGTCGGAAATGATTATTTCGATGAGTTACAAACGTAACAACAAAATTAATATACCTTCCATACTATGTTGGAGGGTATAAATATCGGAACCTACGAAACCAAAATTGCACATAATTGGCTGTTACAGTATCGGAACCATACACACCCTTCACAAGTTTAGCCGCTTCGAATGGATTTTCCCCTTTGTCATAAACATATTCCTATATGTTCAACATTCATTCAACATGCTTACAAATGATCTATATTAAAAAAACATTGTTTTATAACTTCTAATATAGTTATAACATAGTTAAGGAAGGAATAATGTTTATCTCTTTTCGCACCAGCATGTACACCACATGACGGAGGGTATAAATTGTTCGGCTGATCAGACCAGCCAAAGGTCTTTCATGGACATGCTACAAACATATGTACAAAGACATAATACCTATACTACAGCGTGACAAAGGGTATAATGATTGGTCTTTTAAACCGAAAATGTGGATGACCAGCTTAAAAGTATCTATACGATGTCATAATATTAGGTGTGTCTGGTTACTTTCCCTGCAGGAATTGTCCAGTAACTTCTTTCTGAGAGAGTAAGGTAGTTTTATTCTCTTTTGCAAGAAAAATGCGAAAAGTAAACAGACGGCATCCCTGCAGAAGCTTGCAACTAATCAGCTGATTTGTCAAAACAAACCAATTTGTCCGCCATTATAAAGAATTAAAAGAAAGAAAACACAACCAGTTTAAAAAGTTTTTGAAATAAAAAGGAAATAAAATAAAAAAATGAGCAATAAAAGAAAGATAGATTTGATGTGTTCCCCAGAAACTTTTAAACGTGTTAGTAATGGTAAGTTTTTTTTGCATAGAATAAAAATACTTTTGTATAATGACATTTGCTTTTCTTTTAGATACAGAGTTTAGGAACGCTTTGGCAAGTGGTATCGAGGGGATTGAGGAATGTGACGAGTTAATTTTTTCGCCGAATGTTGTTTCCGACGAAAGCATGGAGGAGCCACTTGTGTTTAACCCGATCTTTGAGTCTCAATGCCAACTCGAAGAAGGCTGTGAACCACAAAGGCCAGAGCCCGACGGCAAAAAGTCCATTTGGTTGGATTCCTCAACAAAACTTTTAATTAACAAATATAAGGATTTGCGGCCTTTAGTCGGAAAAGTGGCTTCGCTAAAAAACAAAAAACAGATGTGGACAAAGATTTCAGAGGAGCTTAAGGCGAATGGGCATGATTTTACCATAGCGCAAGTGGAAAATAAGTTTTATAGTTTGCGGACAAATGTATACCCTCAGCCAATGTTTGATTATTTAAATGAATTTGTATTTGTTTAATGACTGCATAAAAAGTTGATTTTGATCACTCCCATGGTGATTCCGAAGAAGTTGGCCAATATTGTCCATTAATATCATAAGCCTGATATAAGCATAATAAGGTATCAGGTATATCGACAACTTCCTTCATTTTATATGAGACATGTCATATTTTTTGGATGATTGCTGATATAGTGGACCGAAATATTCCTCTTCATCTAATACTAATAAATTTATTGTGATGTGAAAATTTAAAGAACATGGAAAATGATGACCGACATTGACCAGCCAGACAGACATTTTTATACCCTCCACCAAAAAAAGTATGCAGGGTATATTGAGTTCATCATTCCGTTTGTAACTCATCGAAATAATCATTTTAGACCCAACAAAGTATATATATTCTTAATCAGCGTAAAATTCTAAGACGATTTAGCACTATTCCTTTTAATTAATTTTATTATTTTATATTACAGTGAACTTGACGGAATATTTCTGGAGAAAAAGTCAATAAATCCCGAATATGTGTTGGACAACGAAGCTGAGGTTACGACGGAAGACCTTTTAACTGCTGATTCATTAAATATTTCTGAAACAGGTATTTGAGCCATACTACAATATATCCTTTTTTGTGCTGTTATACAGAGTGCTATGTTTTAATTTTCAGAAAATCTGGACCCGCTTCCATCAACCTCGAAAAAAAGGAAGACTAATGGCCAAGATTATTTAATGGAGTATGCTAAGGAAAGGAAGGAGAGTGAAAAGCAGTTAAGAGAACTAATAGAAAGAATGTTAAAAAAACGCGAAGAAAGGGCCTTGCGAAAAGAGGAATTGGAGACCAAAAAAATTGAACTTCTGCAATCTCTAATAAATTCCTTAAAGAAATAAATTTTAATGATCATGTTTTTACAATATTTAATGAATTTTATTATTAAAAATGATTCGTTATAGAATCAAATGAATTCTTCAATAATAAATACATCTTAATTAATATGAAATTTAAAAAAAAATATTTGGTCAATTACTTTTATTTTGTATATACTGACAAATGGGGTCTCTTACAATATTACCCTGAGACACATTTGTCAATTCATTGGTTTCTTGCGTTTGATTTGTAGTGATTTCAGACGTGAAATCGATATCATCTTCGTTTGCTAAATTATGCAATACGCAGCAGGCTCTTATAAAGTGACAAATCTTTTTGATCCCTCTAAGTTTGCAGTAGTATAGCTGCCTGAATCTTTGCTTTAATATCCCAAACGTATGCTCAATGCATACCCGACCTGAACTCAATTTAATGTTGAACTGCTTTTGAGCTCTGGTCAAATGGCCATTATCTTTATATGGGGTAATTAAGAATTGGTTACAGGGATATGCCGAATCACCGAGTAGATAGTAATCTAAAATAAAATGTTTATTTTTGTGTACATTAATGTGCATAAGAATATTACCTTCACAGTACGTAGACAACTTTCCCCCAATCGGCGAATTTCTGAAAACCCAGCTGTCGTGGCATGAGCCAGGATACCCAACAAATATATTAATAAATTTCTTTTCTTGGTTACATATACCTTGCAAGCATAAAGTTACATCGCCTTTCCTATCGACATAATCATCCTTTCCAGAGCTGGGAGGGTCAATAACGATATGTGTGCCGTCAATACAACCTGCGAAAATAAACATATCTTTATTTTTTCTAAACAATCGAAAATGTGGTACTACCTATTGCCTTTTTAAAAAAACATTTGTTGTCAAAAAATTGTGCGGACCTTCTTTTTTCCTCCTTCGTAGGCCATTTTATGACTTCCGGGCTCATCGAACTCAAAAAGAGAGATATCCTTGATATAATTGCACCTACCGTAAACAGAGATAGATCGAATCGGTCTGCAATGTCTCTATAACTGCACGCCTCGTGGCCGGCAAACCACAAAAATACCAGGATATTCGTCTCTTCTGAGAATTTCTTGTCTGGACGCATTTTTTTATACATGTCCCAGTTGGATAACCTTTGACATAGGCTTTTAAATAGGCTTTTTGATACACGGAAATGTCTTCTAAATTCTTCCTCCGTGTATGTGGGCACAATACATTCAATGTATTTTTTGACCGCATTTCTTTTGTTTTTCTTCGTAATATGTAAAACATCATGGAAAAGTTTGTCCTCTCTTATCAATATTGCTTGAAAAAATACCTCATCATCATCATCACTTTCAGATGAGGATGATTCCATCAACAATGTAGTAACCACCTTAACAATTGTTTCTTAAAAAGAAGAAAGTCAGAGCTATATTTTGTACCATTCCTACTTTTCACACAGAAATGTAAAAAAATAAGTTGGAAACCATCATAACTACCTTTCTGCATATCCAAATCCATATTTGGGCTTAATAATTTACTGCCACTGGCTACAGAGACACACTGATCTTCTTCCGTCATTTTTCTAAAAATGCTGGAAATAGTCTTTTATTTTCCTATTACATATTAATACTTACGTTTTTCTCGTTTTGTAAAGTTTTTCTCCAAAAACAATTAGTCTTGCTAATTCCAAAAAAAATTATTTTCAAATTGAAAGCACAAAAATAAATAAACAAACAATAGAAAACATCTGATTGAATGTCGATGTATGAGAAGAAGAAGAGTTGCAAGAGATTGCAAGAAGAAATTTTTCCAGCAAGAATTTGCAAACTCTCACTGAAAGAACTGTCAAAATTTCTCTCTCCAACCGCTCTCTTTTGCAGAACTTTTGGGTTAACAGACGACTTCCAGTAACAATTTGTAACAATTGTTACAAACTTTAGGGTAACCAGACACACCTATTAACTGTTTTTCTTCAACGTTAAAATTGGGATAACAGTATCGTAGTATCTTTATATATTGTCGTGAAATAACTCAAACACTTTATT